CCCCAAAACCCCAAAACCCCAAAACCCCATAATACTCTAAACTGAAAAACATAATGACTGCTTTTAAAGATAAATATATCATTGTTGAATATCCTAATCTTAATTCAAAAGCATTCTCTACTAATATATTTGGGCAATCATAATACTTTTAATATCATTAGTTCTTTTAAGATTCTAAAAGTGCTCATATTCCCTAGTCTCTTTTGGTAATTTCTCATAAAATGGAACCTTGGTTTCTCTTACTTCTTCAAGTAGAGCCACTCTCTTTGTTGACTTTGTAATATCTTTCTCCATTGGTATTAAAAATTTATCCTTTTATCGATCAGTCATCATTTTATTTCTTTGTAATCTTCTCTTTGTTATGTTTAAAGTCTTTAATTCTTTATTTTTTTAGCTAATTAGTTCTTGAATTTACTCGAGGGAATGTTTGTTATAGTACTCTGGCTAATTTTCTGTATAGGTAGCCTAGGTTTTTTCAAGATACTTTTGCTTCAGTTTTGCTTGATATTTGATTTCTGCGGTAGTCAATAGCTTTTTATACAAAGTATTCTCAAGTTCATTACTTTGAAATTGTTGAATACTTGATGACGATTGATTATTTAGTTATCCAAAACTTAAGTCTTGATTCAGAAGCTTAACATCCATATTGGCAGTCAGATCCTGATTGGATATCTTTTTCTCTATTTATGTTTTTTCTCCACTAACTGGTTTTGAAGGCAGAATTTATATTTAAATCTCCTTGTCAACCTTTTTAATAGTTTCTAATTTTTTATTATCAAGAGTTTTACTGCTTGGAGATGGACTCTTAGACTTCTTGGCTTTATGCTTAGTTTCATCTTTATTCAATAAACTCAGTTATTCTTGAAGCTCTTATTTACTTAAAAACTTCTCTTAAATAATCATATTAATCAATGCATCTTTCAAGCCTTTCTACATAGTTTTATCATTAATACCATTGGAAGTTATCCCCTCTGAATTTAGTACTTAATTTTATTCTTTTAAAAGCTTTTTAGTAGTTTTTATGGTATCTTTTTATATTTGACCTTTCAGCCTTTTATCTGATTCTATAATAAACTCAAAAATCTTTTTTTAATCCTATTGTTAACAAATATTTTCCTTTGATCTTGATAAGAGATCTCTAGCTTGCTAGATATATTCTAATTGATTTCTCGATTCATCATTATCAGCATTAATATTTTATGGCTAATCATTTATGATAAAATTTGGCTTTTAATTAATTTTATCAACTTTCTTAGTTGTTTGAGATCTTAATGCACTCTATTTCTATTAAACTTCTTTAGCTTTCTGTTATTCTTAAGTCTTATTTGATTTCATATTTTTATTTTATAATTTGAAAATTATCTTTAATCTAGTTGTTTGGGGTTTTGGGGTTTTGGGG